GCTAATCATGAAATCAGTGAATCGGGGGCCGTGCTTCATCTGTTTAATGTACAGTACGAAGATGTGGGATTTTATGACTGTGAAGCCATCAACACTAAAGGAAAGGACTGGCACAAGGCCTGGCTCTACGTGGAGTGTAAGTCATTTGTCAGAGCTCAGTGACTTGCCTGTCTGTGTTATCCAGTAATGTATAGTGATTCCCATTATATTTTTCCAGCTGCTCCGGAGTGGGCAGAGACCATCAATAACACGATGAAAGACATTGGCTCAGAGCACACCATGCGCTGTGTGGCATCAGGGAAACCCTTCCCTTTCATCCGCTGGTATAAAGATGGATATATGGTAAAAACTCTTTGACATGTTGTGTGAAACTGGGCAATATGATATCTCAGCTTGGCTTTACAGTTGCTGTGTGTAAGTCTTCTTTGGCTCATGTACACGTTTGGGTTGTGTTTTTTCTAGTATGGTAAAGGTGAGCTGAAGTTTTCCAGCCTGACTTTTGCTGACTCCGGGATGTATCAGTGCATCGCTGAGAACTACTGGGGCATCAAATACGCCAATGCTGAGCTGCGAGTCATCGGTACTTTGATTTAGTGAATTTTGACATTTAAAAGCACAACTGAACTGCTACATTATGGTTTAAGACGGGTATTAAACACAAAATGACACTTCTAACCTCCCTCCAGCCTGTGCGCCAACATTCGAGTTCAACCCTGTGAAGAAGCAGCTTCTCGGAGCTAAAGACGGACGTGTGGTGATTGAGTGTAAACCCAGAGCGGCTCCTAGACCTCGATTCACCTGGACAAAGGGCAAAGAGCTCCTCTACAACAGCTCACGGTCAGCCTAATACCTCAGCTTTACTCCTTTGCTTGTTGAAAAAAGGCACATCAGGAAGCTTAACTGCTTATGTCCATATTCACAGCATTTCAATCATGTTTGACGGGAGTCTGGAGATCTTGAATGCCACCAAAAACGATGAAGGGGTTTACACCTGCTTTGCGGAGAATGACAGAGGAAAGGCCAACAGCTCTGGCTATCTCACCATCACAGGTCAGCGCATGTATATGTGTGCATCTAAACAGAGTAAAGATCCCACAATCTAGAATGATTTTTAAGTGTATTTATAATATTCTTTTACTTAGAGGCTACCAGCATCACAGTAGCACCTGAGGACACTGAGGTTAGAGTTGGTGACGAGGTGATTCTGAAGTGTGAAGCTTCATACGACCCCATGCTGGACATCACATTTATCTGGGCTATAGACTTCAGAGTCATCGACTTTAATGCAGAGTGGCAACAATATGAACGTGTCATGGTAGGGTTGGTGATTTATTACAGCCATATTTATGTTAAACCTTCTTCGAAGATGCAGACTAAAGATCCTCTGTATACTTCACCCACTTTTCTCATTATGCTTTTCTCCTTTGGGTTTCCTTCCTTCTATTATGCTGTTGTTTCCTGTCATTTAGAACGAAGATGGTGTTGGCGACCTGAGAATATTGGACGCTCAAATTTGGCACGAAGGTCGCTACACCTGCACGGCTCAGACTGTTGTGGACAGTGACACTGCCTACTGTGATCTCAAGATTGTAGGTCAGTCTCAGCATGAGGTGAACACAGATGTAAAGAGTCAAGTATAGTCTTAGAAAGCTATGAAGGAAAGTTCTCAGTGCCAGCCCACATCAGCAAGTGATGGCAAAGCTGTAACATTTTCATGGATCCAATGAGGAAATCTCATATAAAAGTATGCTATGTAAGCTGCTGTAGCCTGCCTAGTGTTGCTGCAGATCTGCAAGCTACTTGGGAACCCACCCCCAGCTCAATATTTTTCCATGCTAGCAAATAGGCATGACATCTTTTGCCATTAAAGCCTGTTCTGAGGTGCTAGAACAAAGCAACACTGCTGAATATAAGTGACTACAGAAAAACTGGAATTATTTTTATCCCCCTTATACTCATTTTTCCATGTGTTTTCATTCTCCTCCCTCATCTGATCCCCAAACCCCAGGTGTTCCTGGTCCTCCTGGTGTGATTCGGGTGGAAGAGATTGGGGACACGTGGGTGAAGCTGTGGTGGACTAAAGGAGCTGAGCATAATAGCCCTATTCTCTACTATACCATTCAGACCAGACACTACTGGGCTCTATATGAAGATGACTGGAGGAATGCCAGCACTTGTGAGTACTGCTCGCTGCCAGCAGGGGGCCAACTCACGCCACAGATATGATAAACTAAAGCATCCTTTACTATTTTTTGGCTCTGAAACAAATGAGTATGATCTGTGATTCTTTTGGATATAAATTACTTAAAAAATAATAGATATATTTATTATTATTATTTTCATCATTTAAATGTTCCTTGTGTCCTTCAGCTCCAAGTGTTCTTGATGGCAGTATGGAGAAAGCAGAGGTGACAGACTTGTATCCTTGGATGGAATATCAGTTTAGGATCATTGCTACTAATGAGCATGGCTCTGGAGAGGCCAGTATCCCTTCCCTCAAGATCAAAACCTGGGACGCTTGTAAGGATAAAAAAGAAATTGAAGTTGTGATATGTTAGACATGCTATTTTAAAAATACTAATGATAAACTATTTTCTTGCCCTCAGCACCAGTTGTGTCTCCCACCAATCTGGCCGGTTATGGAGGTCGAAATGGTGAGATAATCATCACGTGGACAGTAGGTGTCTCTGCTTGACTTCCTCATTCGCAAGTTCCATTTTAACAGTTGAATTTTACTGGAAACTGTTTCAACTTGTGACCTTTAGCCCGTGGAGCCTTGGTACTTCTATGGTAAGAAGTTTGGCTACATCGTCGCGTTTAAGCCTCACGATGCTTACGACTGGTGGTACGAGACCATCTCGGACCCTGAGACAAGACGACACGTTCACAGAGACACCTATTTCATCCCCACTGAGGAAGACTTCCAGGTGCGAGAGTTTCAGGTGAAGATCAAGTCATTTAATGTGAAAGGAGACGGACCCTACACCCTCACAAAGGTCATCTACTATCCACGAGATGGTAAGACCTTTGCTTTGGGCTTGATGACATTCCTGTATTTATTACCGTGGAAACTATGAGCACCTTTTTCAATTTCATTTTTCTCCATCTTCTTCAGTACCTATAGAATCTCCAACAGATATCTACGCTAGGCCTGTGTCCTCCACTGAAGCTCTGGTTTGGTGGTTGCCAGTGGTTGACACTGGAACAGGCCTACAACAGTATATTGAGGGATACCAGGTACAGAACCGCAGAGAGATTAGATAGTTGCATTAACAATCAGTTGAACAGGGGTCCATTCCATAACAATCCCATATCCTGTCATCTAGGTCAGATACTGGAGAAAATATGATGATCCGGAACCAGGTGCCAATCGTATTTTTGTCTCAGCCTCAGTCAATCAGACAAGGCTGGAAAATATGCTGCCAGATTCACACTACCTCATCGAGGTCCGTGCCTACAATGGAGCAGGCCTCGGACCCCCTGGAGAAATGTGTGAGATGTTCACCAAGAGGCCACGTAAGACAGACGACTCACAGCATAACTATAATAAGATTTATAATAAGGAGCAAATCTGCATTTGGAGACTCAATAAATGATCTCTTTACAGCACCACCAGATCCTCCCAGGATGTGGCGATACATCAGTTGGACAGGGAAATGGCTGTATGTGTGGTGGGATCATATTCAGTACGACTGGTTCGGTAATATTTCCTTCCCGCTGTACTACAAGGTTTGTAAAGTGTTTCTCTTTTAATTAGAGTTAAAACAAGTTTGTCACATCTGTCGTATAGCGATAACAGGATTGCTGAAGACCTTCCATGTTTCTCATCATCTGCCAGGTCATGTTCAGAAAGTCAGGCTACATCTATGGGAAGGTCTACATCACTGGCTGGCACTTCATGGACTTCCCCATGCCTCAGGTTGGAGATTATGAACTGATGGTGCGCGGCCGTTATGAAGGAGGAGATGGCCCAATCAGGAGGATTAAGATTCTGGGTAAAGCTCAGAAAAATCATTAAATAAAAATGAAAGTCTTCACCCATTTTACCTACTTTTTAATCACTTTTTTGTGTGTTTGATGTTGTTTCTTCTTCTTCCTCAGGTCATGCATCCACAATCACGCCCACCTTAAGCCTGGTGTCTTTGGTGCTGCTGGCACTGTGCGTTGTGGGACTGGAAATTTAAGCCTGCCTCAAGCAACATGTATATAACAGACTCTGGGAAGCAAATACACGGACCATATTGAGGATCTAGTCTTTATTATCAAACAGTCTTCACATTGATGCTCACTAAGATGCCACATCTTGCATCCCTCTAGCTTTTGTTCAGGTGTAACACAATACTGGAAAAAGAAAATTGTTTCTCAAAAATAAGATTTGTTGTTAATCCAAATGCTTTTCTAGACAAATTACCAACCATATTTGTATACCATCATATGACCTAGATCTAAAATGTCTTGAATGAATTATATGACAAGGCACATGATTCTCCAAACACTGTGTAGATAGAAATAAATGCACAAGGAAAAGAAAGTTTAAGTTGTTCGTCAAGCGAAAAGTGCGATTTTCCAGTCTCTTAAGTTATTTTCTATTAGTTTTTTTTTTTGTTGGAAAAATTATGATTTCTTTTTACACAGACAGTCTCCATCTCTGTTAAATCAGTCATTAGTATGTACACAAAACTGTAATAAGAAATGCTTTTGGTTATTTTTAAAAAGTGTTTATGCAAACTATGTAAGGTATTTGTGAATAGCGTTTTTTCTTCTTCTTTTTAAAATTTATTTATTGAAACAGGAGTAATGCTACCAACGATGGGGACAGAATGTTGGTGGGGGAGCTGTGGGTTTCGCAATGACTCTAAATTGTTATTCGGAGTTATTAACAATGAAAGACATATCGCTTTGACATCTACTACTGTATATCACCTGGATCTGTATGCTAACTTCTTTTGTGTCAAGCTGCAAAACCATTAAACTGAATGCAACAAACAAATGACAACTGTGTACTTGTGAAATTTTCTCAATGCGTCCCAACTGAGTCCCAACAAATGACACAACTTAATTATTTTTGGAGGATTTGTGGAAATGTGATGTGTGTTTTCAGTCAACAGATGGCAGTACAGCCACATGTTGTTAGCCACTGTTTTAGTTACCCATCACTGTACTTGCTAAGTGTTTTGTTCTTAACCTGAGTAAAACTCAATAACAGTCACTGCTTGTAGAGAAAACAGGGAGAGAGCTTGGCGGGCATGTTAGCACACATACTGCTTATGCTGCTTTGCTTATACTGGGTTAAGACCTTTGTTGCTTTAATTCTTCATGCCATAGATTCAACAAGGTGCTGGACACATTCCTCTGTGATTTAGTTCCATATTAACATGACATCATTATACAGTCACTGCAGTTTGCCTAAAATCTCCTTTCCACCACATCCCAAAAGTGCTCTACTGAATGAAGATCTGGTGACTGTGCAGGCCAGTGAGCTCATTATTATATTTATAAAAACACAGTTTGAGATGACTTTAGCGACATGGCGCGTTATCCTGTGGTCATAAAGGAATGGGCATGGTCAGCAGAAATACTCAGGTTTGTTGTGATGTTTAAATGATGCTTATTTGGTATGCCATGCAATCATACAACCACTGTGGCCTAAACCACTGATAATGGGCAGCAGAAGTAAACAGTTATCACACTAGGCAATGTTTTCGGGATCTGTGGTCTTCCACAATCTTCTGGTGAACCTTTGTGAGTTGTAGCTTCATTTTTCTATTCTTAGCTGATAGGAGCGGGACCCAGTGTGGTCGTCTGCTGCAGCAGAATCTCTGCTGGCTATGTTGTGCACTTAGAAATGCTCGTCTGAAAACTTTATTTGAGCAGCTATTTGAGCTATATTAGTTATTTTTGCCTTCCTATCCACTAAAAGGAGTCTGGGCATGCTGCTCTAAATTTTGTCACCAACAAGTCATTTCTCTCATCTTCAGACCATTCTCTCCAAAGCCTCTACGGATGGATGTGTAGAAAATCCCAGTGGGTCAGGGTTTTCTGGAATAATGATACCACCCTGAGAACCATGCTAGATTCAGAGTCACTTTTCTTAAATCAACATTTTGATGCTCAGTTTGAACCACAGCAGATTGTCTTTCCATGTCTAAATCCCTAAATGCACTGAGTTGCTGCTATGTGATTGGCTCATGAGATATTTGCAGGTGAACAGGTGTACCTAACAACAACTGGCTAATGGCACTGGAAACATATAGGTCAACCAGGTGAGTAGAAATTGTTGTTATGTGGTTAAAAATGTTGTCTCTGTTTTAAGTACTATGGAGGGATTTTTTGCTGTTGTTGTTGTGACTGATGTTGTGCAGTTTTGAGTTCTCCCCTCCCCAAAGCCTGTCAGCAGACAGCTGACCCACTGCATGACCCTTTCCAAAACAGCCCCCACACCTAAGTTAGGGAGTCTGTTTATTAGGGTGTTGGTCTAGTGATGTAGTGACTTTGATGTGTGTAGTCAAGAAAATGGAAACAGTGACCTGTTGACCCGTGCTGCCCACCCCTGTGCATCCACCAGAACATTCTGTATCCGTAAATCCTAGACAGCGAGACAAGGGTGGAAATAAATGAAGAACTTAAATAAAATCCATAGTTTTCTATATTTATGTTATTTATAGTATAGATTTTATGGTATTTCCAAGCTAATAGAGAGACGAAGAAGGAGGGATTCACTGCATCCCAGAGGGACTTTTGTCATACAGCATATTGCTTTGCTTAGTCCAAAGCAGTGGCTACAGCATGACCATAATATCTGTGATGCTGTTGGAGAGCAAAAGGAGGCTTTTGTAAGTCCATGCTTTTTACTTGTGCTCTTGCTTGTATATAGTACAGTAGTCTCTGTGGGTGGCTTTTATCTCTCCTGCAGCCACCTTCATTACCAGTTTTTCTCCCATTTTACCTCCTTCCATTCAAACAAATTACACAAACACTGAAAATCCCATGCGAGGCTGAAATCAGTGCTGCAGTCATTTACAAACAATCACAGCAGATGTGCAAAGGTGAGTCTTCCATGGCAGGGGAACGAGTCGTCCTCCAGAGAAGGATATTGAAAAGCCTGTTGTGATTCATGGTTCCTTCAGCTTTTATTAGCATTCTTGGTATAGATCTCCTCTGGACAATGAACACAAATATATTGTTTGTGGCAGAGACAGCAGTAGCTCTGCAAAATGGTATTTTTGTTGGAGTTTGTTGCAGTGAAATTGTGTTTAGTTTGTCAGCAGAACTTGAAGTTGTGTTGATAAATGAGACTGATTTCCAACATGTATATTCAGAAAATTACATATAGCAGCTGAACACTGTCACTTTGAGGATGTGTTATACTGAACATCGATATGTGCAGGAAGCACAAAAATCCTCTGGATCATTACTGTAAATGAGAAAGGCGATTGGGTTACATCACCTGATGAATAATACATATGCAGACTGAAGTCCAGCACTGATATCTGTGAATATGCTTTCAATGAATTCATTTGAGCAATTGATTCCATTTATTTTACTTGAACAATTATTTAAAGCAGTCTATGACAAACATTGGACTTCGGAGTTTATTTATTTATTTTTTTATGATAGGAAACCTGCCCCACACACACACACACACACACACAACACACAACACACCACACAACACACACACACACACACACACACACACAACCACACGTTCAGCTATCTTAGTGAGGACCTTCATTGACATAATGCTTTCCCTAGCCCAGGGGTCAGCAACCTTTAACACCCAAAGAGCCATTTGGACCCGGTTTCCACGCAAAAGAAAACACTGGGAGCCGCAAATACTTTTTGACATCTAAAATGAAGATAACACTGTATATATTGTTTTTTTTACCTTTATGCTTTGTGTGAACAACTAAGGTGTGTTGCTTATGAAATCCATGAAGTGCTACAGAGAAAATTACATTTTATTTATGTAATTAACACATTTTGAACTCTTGAAGAAATATAACAAAAGGAAAGACACCCAGCTGAACTAAAATGATCCATGTAGCAAGCAAAAACTGTTATATCGCCTTTGGGCTTTTGGAGCCTTGACCTGTCTTTTAAAAATATTTGGGAAAAAAAGCACCATGATGCTAAAAAATGAAAAATAGATATTTGCAAAATTCTGCCTAAATATGTATTTTACCTGGTTAATGTGTGGTGGGGTCTGCAGTGCCGCTGCATGGGAGTCAGACGCACCGGAGCGGCACCCGCAATCACTCCTCGCCGCCTTAAAGTCTGTACTCTCTTTGCTGTTGTGTTGTCAGGCTGAGAGCTGAAAAGCTACAGCCGACTGTGTGCGTACAGCAACTGTGTGTGAAAAGTGGTCAATAAAGACATGCTGAAAAACAGGGTCATGGAAACATCGTCGGCTCTGCCGTGATATGTTTACGATGGGACTTCTGCTCCTCAACCTCTGCGCACAGATTCTGCAAATCGGGGCTGTAAGAAGTCACTTTCATCTTTACGCAGGACTGTAAGCTGTCATCTGTGAGGCGTGAGCGGTGTTTGTTTTTAACATAGTTCACGGTGGACAATAGCTGCTGCCATAATGTGGATCCGAAGATCCATAACTGGCCTACCTGGGGTTGAAAGTCTCGATAAATGCACGGTGTTTCGGCGGGTACACCGGCTTCTGCGAGTGTGACGCTTATTTTGAGCGATGAAAAATAATAAAATAAAATTTTATTTTTATATTTCAATATCACAATAATCTTCCAATTTAGGACTACAAGTTAAACAAGAACTAAACACAAATAAAATACACTTCAGCTAAAAATACTTCTAATTTATTTTCCCAAACCACCCGGAGCCGCAGTATAAGGACAAAAGAGCTGCATGCGGCTCCGGAGCCGCAGGTTGCCGACCCCTGCCCTAGCCCCTTACCCTAACCATTAAAAATGAATGCCTAACCCTAACTAAATACAACTTTTTCTTATACCTAACCATAACCTAATTGTAACCCTGACACTAAAACCACATTTTGAGCCGCAAAAATGCCTTTAAATGCCTTCAAATTTGTGAGGGCCAGGTGTGTGTCCTCACAAGTGACTGCTGGTTCTCACAAGTATAGTAGAATGCAGATGTCGGTCCTCACAAAGATAGCTAGACAGGAACACACACACACACACAAAGTAGACAATTTAGGAGTCAAGCCAGGAAATTACATTTCTTACTTTTGAAAGGAAATTAATAAATGAATTATTGTTATAACCGGTGAGGGGAACTAAATTTACTTACTGAAGCACTGCAGAAACGTTTTGATGTATGTCTATTTCAAAAACAACAGCAAAAAATTCTTGTAGAAGAAATCGTCCAGAAAATAAAATGAGTTTAATCTTAATGAGCCAATTTTAAAGTTCTGTATAATATATTAGGGATATTAATGATCCATTGATGAAGCACTACTGTGGACAATCAACATAACAGTTTAATATTTCTTTCATTTTGTAGCCAATGCATTGCTTAAAGCAACATCCCACCTCCATGAGATAATTTTAAGAATGGGATGAAGTGATGATGAACAGGTGGAGGACCAGACACTGAAACTGATTGACATCAGCACAACAGAGACAATGAGGGTGGGAAGTATAACTAATACAGGACACCACTGAAAATTAACCTACAAAGTACAATGGAAATAACGTGAGAAAAACTGTAGTAGTCTGAATACTAACACTTAACAAGATGAACAGAGAATGGAAACACAAAGGGAAATTAATACAGACTGAGATGGAGGAAGGATGATAAAAGACTCCAAAAATCACAACAACAAAGCTCAAACATGAATGAAAACCAAGAGCAAAAGGAACGATGAAAACCAACAAACAATAAGAAGCCAGAAAAACTACAAGAAAATCAAAAGCCCTTTATCCAAGACCCAGGACTATGACAACAATTAATAATTTAACATAGCAGGTTAGGAACCACCAACCTAAGGTGTCCACAGATCAC